TCTCCTGGTGATTGGCCCAAAGTCACCCAACTGGCTTTCATGTCTAAGGCGGGACTAGAACTCACCGTCTCCTGGTGATTGGCCCAAAATCACCCTGCCGGCTTTCATGTCTAAGGCGGGACTAGAACTCACCGTCTCCTGGTGATTGGCCCAAAGTCACCCAATTGGCTTTCATGGCTGAGGTGGGACTACAATTCACTGTCTCCTGGTGATTGGCCCAAAGTCACCCAACTGGCTTTCTTGCCTAAGACGGGACTAGAACTCACCGTCTCCTGATGATTGGCCCAAAATCACCCTGCCGGCTTTCATGTCTAAGGCGGGACTAGAACTCACCGTCTCCTGGTGATTGGCCCAAAGTCACCCAACTGGCTTTCATGTCTAAGGCGGGAGTAGAACTCACCGTCTCCTGGTGATTGGCCCAAAGTCACCCAGTTGGCTTTCATGGCTAAATCAGGACTAGAACTCACGCCTTCCCAATTTCTAGCTGCTGCCTTAACCACTAGACCAAAATTGCCTTGAAAATCAGAAGGAAATGCCAGTTTTTGGCAAAACTATCCCCAAAACTGAGCCTTTGCCATTTCTTTGGCACAGATTCTGACCGGATGGTTGAAGTTTGTCACCACGCATCTTCCAACACCTTAAGCCTGGGACCTGTCCTGGAGGGGCCTCTCCCCTCCCCTCCTGACTCCAAAACCGAGAACCGGGACCACCCTGGATCGCAGGAATGTTTCCTGGTGTTCGTGGGATGCTCCCTCAAAGAAGATGACATCAAGGATTGGCTGAGGCAGACGGCCAAACAGGTGAGGATCCCTGCCAGATTGCTGGGTGGGAGGGGGGGTGTCACCAGTCACACCTTAGGAGACTAGCTTTGCCACGGGCGTGTTTTAGGTCCAGCCGGGGGTGTGTAGGAAAGGAGTGGCAGATCCTGAGGACGGGATGAAAAGAGGAATCGGCCAAGAATTCTTATGTACAGAGAGTCTTCAACTTAAGGACCATAATTGAGCCCAAGTGGACCCCCCCCCCTGGTTTGTCCAGTTTCTCTCCAAGAGGTCCCAAGTTCTGAAAGGCTTTCTGGGTTATGGGTGCACCTACAACTTCTGGTGGCAAGCCGTTCCACTGGTTAATTGTTCTGACCGTCTGGAAATTCCTCCTTAGTTCCAGGTTGCTTCTCTCCTTGGTTAGTTTCCATCCGTTGCTTCTTGTCCTGCCCTCAGGTGCCCTACCTCCATCCCAGCCCTGATGAGTGACAGTCTCCCATCCTCACCTGCCCAAGGTTAGAGTAAAAAAAAAAAATCAAGATGGCGGACTACGACGGCGCCGTTGAAGGCCAACTTAGAAAAACAGAGGCAGGAGAAGCAGTGCGGTATTTCTTTGTAGAAACTGCAAAGCAGATTTCTCAACAGTATTAACTGCCGGCCGAGCGTGATTTAACAGAACAGATTTAACAGAATAACAAGAGTTGGAAGGGACCTGCGAGGTCCTCTAGTCCAGCCCCCTGAGACCCCGTGATCACCGAGTCCTTTCATACCGCCCTTTGATCACTCGTGTGTGCCCGTTTTCTCCTCCATCACATGAGTCCAATAAAATAACAGGCGGTCCTCGACTTACGACTGAGCCCAAAATTTCAGTCGCTAAGTGAGGCAGTTGTCACGCGAGTTCTGCCGCATTTCACAGCCTCACAGAACAATAGAATAATAGCTTTGGAAGGGATCTTGGAGGTCATCTAGTCCAACCCCCTGCTTAGGCAGGAAACCCTATACCATTTCAGACAAATGGCTGTCCAGTCTCTTCTTAAAAACTTCCAGTGTTGGAGGAGGGAGGGAGGGAGGGAGGGAGGATAACAGAATAACAGAGTTGGAAGGGACCTTGGGGTCATCTAGTCCAACCCCCTGCTCAGGCAGGAAACTCTATACCATTTCGGACAAATGGCTGTCCAGTCTCTTCTTAAAAACCTCCAGTGTTGGAGCATTCACCGCTTCTGGAGGCAGGTTGTTCCACTGGTTAATTGTTCTCACTGTCAGGAAGTTTCTCCTTAGTTCCAGGTTGCTTCTGTCCTTGGTTAGTTTCCGTCCGTGGCTTCTTGTCCTGTCTTCTTCAGGTGCTTTGGAGAATAGATGCTGGGAAGAGTGGAAACATTTTTTTGTATTAGATTGTGTTAAGGATTGAAAACAGGCGTAGTTCTGTATGCATCGAAGCGACGTAGAAAGTCCGCTATCTCCATTTGTGTGTGTGTGTGTGCACAGACAAATATCTTAAACGCAAGCCCACACAGTCTAGCTGTGTGTGCCATCCAGTTCGCACATGAAAAAGATTCTTCAGAAGCTTGACATTTAAAGCATCTTAAAATTCATAAACCGCCGCAATCCGCATCCGTGATTCACCTAATTAACGTGTATCGGTTCCGAACATCGCATGAAAATTGATCTGTGGAACATTCATCAGATGTAATGCTTGATTTCCGGGCCTTTGATATCTGTGCCAAATCCTTTAAAAATGTATCAGGCTGTCAAGTCGAGGTTGTCATTTATAAAACATTTTTCTTTCTCCTCTCATGATACGAATTCTTCAACAGAGAAAAGTTAGTTGGTTTAAAGTGTAGTAAGACAACAACAATCCTGGATTATGTGCAGTTGGCCAAGATCCCTCCCCCGGTTATTTCCTTGGTCATGTATGGCATAACAAAATGCAGCATTAATGCATAAAAACTTATAAAAAAACAGCGTATCAAATGCATCCCGAAATATAAAACGCCAGCTCAGTGAACCATTTTAAAAACACACGGCACGAGCGATGCATAAAATTGTGAATAAAATTAAATTATGTATGAGTAAGTTCCTAGAGTGGCTAAGCCCCATGGCTGGATATCCAGATCCTTTAACCATTGGACAGCACTGCCTTTGAGATGATGTATTTCAGGCAGGGATCCAGGGAACACATTTTGAGGGGGGGTTATTCTGTCGCAATAACGACGTAAAGTTTGCGGGACGTTTCCGTAGTCAGAATTAGGATTATCCACCAGCCCCTGTTTATACTTCCAATATTGGCACCTGCCGTGGTTGGTTCGGATCCAGTTGAGCACTGCCCAGATTTTCCTCGGGAGATCAAAGCCGAAAGGGCGTTGTGCTGGATCAGATATTAAATTAAACCTCTCTGGATTAGAAGTTGCCCGCTCCTGGCGCCAGGCTATCTCAGTAGCCCAGTCTTCTCTGAAATCATTGCCGTCCAAGTTTCCATGGTTTGAATCTGAATATTTGATAGTGACAGTCCTTCATGGTTGAAGACATGAGCAGGCTGTTGGGGATGAGTCTGTGTTGCCTGCATCTCAAACTGATGGGCTGTGCCTTGTCTGTTCTGTCCCAGCCTACGTGAGTCCTTGTTATGCTCACAAGGAGAAACCCCTCTTCCAAGAAACAGGCAGGAACCGCAAGGGAAAAAAAACCCCTTTTTATTCTCACAGACCTGAGTCAATGTCCAAGGCAAACAAACACAATCCACAGAAACTCGATCCTCAACACAAACGGTTGCGTTCGGCAACCAGCACCTCCCACCCCTTCCCTTTTATAATTCAGCCAAGGCGTGGCTTCCTAATGCCTTCTCCTTTGCCTTTGGAGCCGCCCCATTGCATTCCTCTGTCCTACTCACTTCTCTTGCCTGCGCTTTCGTGCATCCAGGATGTGTCCCAGCTGTTCTTCATCACTGTCCAACTCAGGCTCCCAGCACAGCTATGTCTCAGCCTGAGTGCGAGTAGAGGGGCCAGACTCCTCGTCCGACTGTAAGTCTTGGAGCTCCTCAGAGCCTACCTCTGACGTCACTCCTGGCTCCTCCTCCTCCTCCTCTGATTCCCCAGACTCAGCTGCCGGGTCCACTGGCTGGCGAGGAATCACAACACTGTCTTCCAACACAAAAGGGACCCAGGGCACAAAACGTCCTGCAGCCAAGAAGGCTCCACACCCATTTGCACCACTCAGGTGACCCCGAGCATGCAGGTAAACCTCCAGGTGGCCTCAACGACTCTCTCAAAGGAGGCAAATGACCAGCTGTCTGCAAGGAGTATAAATCCTTCCATTCCCCCATCATACAGTCAGAGCTGAAGAAGCTTCTGGGATGAGAAGCGAAACGTCTGCAAAGATGTCCGAAATGGTATAAGGTTTCCTGCCTGAGCAGGGGGTTGGACTCGATGACCTCCAAGGTCCCTTCCAACTTTATTATTATTATTATTAAAAACAAGAAAGTCCACCTTTGGGTCAGCCATGAATTGGATGACTCTATAGACGTTTAACTTGGTCAAACAAAAATGATTGTTTCCTAAATTGTACCCTACATTTGTCCCACCCTGGGTTTTTTGTTTGTTTGTTTTCCTTTGGGTTTTCAATCAGCTGAACTGAGTTTTTCTTTCTCTCTCACCCAAACGCAGAAACCACAGAGAAAAGCTCTGAAGACCCGGGGCATGCTGACGTCCCAGGAGATCAAGAGCATCCACGTAAGTGAGCAAAATGGCTTCTCGGCAGGAGCAGCCGAGTAAGCAGAGCGGAGCAAAATGTATCAATCAATCAGAATAGAACTGGAAGGGAGTCTGGGGGTCTTCTAGTGTCGAACCCCATGCTCAAAGAGGAGACCCTATACCAGGGCTAGGCAACCTTGGCTCTTTTATGACTCGTGGACTTCAACTCCCAGAATTCCTGAGCCAGCATGGCTCAGCTTGGAAACCTCTCCCTTTCCCCTCAGCATGGCTGGCTCAGGAATTCTGGGAGTTGAAGTCCACCAGTCATAAAAGAGCCAAAGTTGCCTACCTCTGGCCTAGGCCTAGGCTGCTTTATGACTGGTGGACTTCAACTCCCAGAATTCCTGAGCCAGCATGGCTCAGCTTGGAAACCTCTCCCTTTCCCCTCAGCATGGCAGGCTCAGGAATTCTAGGAGTTGAAGTCCACGAGTCATAAAGCGGCCTAGGCCTAGCCCAGAGGTAGGCAACCTTGGCTCTTTTATGGTTTGTGGACTTCAACTCCCAGAATTCCTGAGCCAGCCATGCTGAGGAGAAAGGGAGAGTTTCCAATCTGAGCCATGGTGGCTCAGGAATTCTGGGAGTTGATGTCCACGAGTCATAAAGCGGCCTAGGCCTAGGCCAGAGGTAGGCAACCTTGGCTCTTTTGTGACTCGTGGACTTCAACTCCCAGAATTCCTGAGCCAGCCATGCTGAGGGGAAAGGGAGCGATTTCCAAGCTGAGCCTTGCTGGCTCAGGAATTCTGGGAGTTGAAGTCCATGAGTCATGAAGGGGCCAAAGTTTCCCCTATGCTGGCTCAGGAATTCTGGGAGTTGAAGTCCACTAGTCATAAAAGAGCCAAGGTTGCCTACCTCTGGCCTAGGCCTAGGCTGCTTTATGATTCATGGACTTCAACTCCCAGAATTCCTCAGCCAGCATGGCACTATTGCAGAAAACCACAGGACTCAGACCACGGAATCAAAAGAAGTTGGTTTATTTGCGCAAGGTTCAGAGCAATATATTTGTAAGCACATCTGAACAGCTTCTTATAAAAAAACAAGTTCATGTATACTCTTCAGAAACAGCAAAACACGGAAGTGTAACTTGTTAGCATTGATTGGTTACTTGAATCACAGCCCCCCCTGTTGCTATGCTAAAGTAGCTAAAATACCTTGCTAAAGTTTCTAAGTGTCGAAGTTTCCTGCATCGCACTTGTGGTTAGCTACAAATGAGACATAGAGATATATGTGGTTACCTGTAGCAGAGCTTCAAGCTTGACACCTTTGTGCGACCGACAAATGAACTTGTGGTTTTGACATTTTCCATTTTCTTTTTGCTTCTTCTAACTAATACACGCATTTAGGACTCATGTCCTGTTTTATGACCTATGTCTTGTTTTATGTCCTATGTCCTGCTTAATGTCCTGCCTTAGCTCAGCTTGGAAACCTCTCCCTTTGCCCTCAGCATGGTTGGCTCAGGAATTCTGGGAGTTGAAGTCCACAAGTCATAAAAGAGCCAAGGTTGCCTACCCCTGGCCTAGGCCTAGGCCGCTTTATGACTCTTGGACTTCAACTCCCAGAATTCCTGAGCCAGCCTGGCTCAGCTTGGAAACCTCTCCCTTTCCCCTCAGCATGGCTGGCTCAGGAATTCTGGGAGTTGAAGTCCACCAGTCATAAAAGAGCCAAGGTTCCCCACCCCTGCCCTATACCCATTTAAGACAGGTGGCTATGCAGTCCTTTCTTAAAAGCCTCCAGTGATGGAGCGGCCACGATTTCTGGTGGCAAGCTGTTCCACTGGTTGATTGTCCTCACTGTCAGGAAGTTTCTCCTTCATTTCAGGTTGCTTCTCTCCTTGATTAGCAGAATGAGCTGGAAGGGACCTTGGAGGTCTTCTAGTCCAGCCCCCTGCTCAAGCAGGAGACCCTCTACCCATTTCAGACAGGTGGCTGCCCAATCTCTTCTTGAAAACCTCCAGTGATGGAGCACCCACAACTTCTGGTGGCAAGCTGTTCCACTGGTTAATTGTCCTCACTGTTAGGAAGTTTCTCCTTAATTCCAGGTGGCTTCTCTCCTTGATCAGTTTCCATCTGTTGTTTCTTGTCCTGCCCTCTGGTGCTTTGGAGAATAAAGTAGATAAAGGACATAAACGAGACATGTCAGTCCTTCATCTCAACTAGAGTCCTGACTCCATTGATTGGCTGTATTTTGTCTCCTCTCCTCCCGTCCGTCTTTATTTATCATTTAATTTAATCGGCTAGATTAAAATGCAGAAGGCTCTCCCTCCCCGTGCCGAACATTTGCACTTTGGACACGTTCTTCCTCTGGAGTTGTCTAAAGGCAGTCCTCGACTTACAACAGTTTCATTTAGCGAGCGATAGTTACAACGGCACTGAAAAAAAGGACCGTTTTCCATTCTTAACGACCGTCGCAGCATCCCCATGATCAGGTGATAAAAATTCGGCCGCTTGGCCAACTGACTCGTATTTATGACGGTCACAGCATCCCCCCTGGGTCACGTGATTCCCCTTTTGGCGACCTGACGCGCAAAATCAATGGGAAAGCCAGATTCATTTAACGACCGTGTGACTCGCTTAACAAACGCAGTGATTCCTTTAACCGTTTTGGCAAGAAAGGTCGTAAAATGGAGGAAAACGCACTTAGCAACAGCTGTTTTGGCCTCAGTTGTGGACGTAAAGCGAGGACCACATGCTCTTGCCTCTTCTTTATGTTGGTTTGTGCTGGTCTCTGCTGGGGCCAGTTCTAAAGGACTGTTTTGGTGGGGGTTCCTGATTCAGAAGTGATGATGATGATGATGATGATGATGATGATGATGATGATGATGATGATGATGATGATGTTGATGTTGGAAGGGACCTTGGAGGTCATCTAGTCCAACCCCCTGCTCAGGCAGGAAACCCAGTTTCCAGACAAGTTCGCATCCCCCGTGACCCCGATTTATTTATATTTCTATTTATTAAAGTTTTATGCCGCCCATCTTCCCTATGAGCAGACTCTGGGCAGCTCGCTGGCTATAAAACAAACAGAAAAATAATGAAAATATGAAAACTATGCAGATTAAAATTCTAAAAATAGGTCAGAATATGAATGGAGTTTAAATGTGAATGGAATTTTAAAACTGAATAGAATAAATGATAGCTTTCTAATTAAGTTTTATTTTGTTAGATTAATAATATTTTTATTACTAAGTGATCAGAAATAATTGATAAGTTATTAAGTATGGATATTTACTTGGAGGGTTTTTACCCATTTATCAAATTTTAGTTATGTGATTATAACTAATTTGATCTTTATAACTGTTTAGTATTATATAAAGTTTGCATTTAAATTTTATGTTTATTCCTATGAATTTTTTTTCTTTTTTATTTGTGATTCTAATAAGAAGTAATTATAATTAATAAGTAATATATTAATGTGTTAAAGTTATTGTAGCTACGTAGTACTATATTAGTAATATTTTATTAAGCATTACTATTTTATATTAATTAGTATGATTGAATATGTATACCCGGACGAGTTTACTTGTTGAAGCGTTGACTTAGTGTGGGGGACAATCCCGGTAGTGTACCTATCCCTTCCCCTGGTCTAGCCTTTTTTTTGTGTGTGTGTTATCCCTTGTCATACCCTTATTGACCTACTTTTCCTTTACCCTTATAAAATTTAATAAAATATATTTAAAAAAAAAATTCTAAAAATATACGTTCAGGGACTTGCAATGGGAGTGTGTTTTAGGGGTACCACTCTCTGCAATCTCTTTCTCTCTCTCTGAATTCCAGGTAAAACGGCACTTGGATCCGCTCCCCACTGGCTACTTCTACAACGGGACCCAGTTTGTGAATTTCTTTGGAGACAAGATGGATTATCACCCGCGTATCTTTTGCTATACGTCGTGTGTTTTGCATGTTTAGCTTGGCATTCCTTATTTTATTTACATCTCACCTTTATTACCTTTAATAATTAACGCACAGTGATGAATATAACCTAATATTCCTTCCTCTTCCTGTTTTCCCCACAACTCCGTGAGGTGGGCTGGGCTGAGAACGATCGGCGCGAAATTCAATAAGAACACAGGGAGTCCCCGACTTATAACCATTTATGACCGCCCGAAGTTACGACGGCACTGAAAGTGGATTAGGACCATTTTTTCACACTTCACGACCGTCGCAGCATCCCCAGGGTCACGTGATCAAAATTCAGCCGCTTGGTCACTGACTCGTATTTACGACAGTCGCAGCGTCCCCCCCCCGGGGTCACGGGATCCCCCTTTTGCGACCTTCTGACCAGCAGGGGGAGCCAAATTCACTGAACAAGAACCACGTTCCTCACTTAACCACATTCCTCACTTAACAACGGCAGCGATTCACTTATCAACTGTGGCAAAGAAAGATCCTAAAATGGGGCACAAGCTCACATAATAATAATAATAATAATAATAATAATAATAATAATAATAATAATAATAATAATAATAATAATAATAATAATAATAATAATAATAATAATAATAATATAAAGTTGGAAGGGACCTTGGAGGTCATCTAGTCCAACCCCCTGCTCAGGCAGGAAACCATATACCATTTCAGACCAATGGCTGTCCAGTCTCTTCTTAAAAACTTCCAGTGTTGGAGCATTCACCGCTTCTGGAGGCAGGTTGTTCCACTGGTTAATTGTTCTCACTGTCAGGAAGTTTCTCCTTAGTTCCAGGTTGCTTCTCTCCTTGGTTAGTTTCCATCCATTGCTTCTTCTCCCGCCTTCAGGCGCCTTGGAGAATAGCTTGACTCCCTCTTCTTTGGGGCAGCCCCTGAGATACTGGAAGATTGCTATCATGTCCCCCCTCGTCCTTCTCTTCATTAGACTAAACATACCCAATTCCAGCAACTGTTCCTTGTATGTTTTAGCCTCCAGTCCCCTGATCATCTTTGTTGCTCTTCTTTGCACTCTTTCTAGAGTCTCACCATCTTTTTTACATCGTGGTGACCAAAACTGGATGCCGTATTCCAAGTGTGGCCTTACTAAGGCCTTGTAAAGTGGTATTAATACTTCACATGATCTTGATTCTATCCCTCTATCAATGCAGCCTAGCACTGTGTTGGCCTTTTTGGCAGCTGCAGGACACGGCTGGCTCCTCTTTAAGGGATTGTCCACTAGGACTCCGAGATCCCTCTCAACTTAACCAATGTCTCACTTAGCAACGTAAATCTCGGGCTCAACTCTGGTCGTAAGTCAAGGACTACGCTTTAATTGTTTCTCAGGCTCTTCCCAGATGCCCTTTTTTCTCCTTAACGGTTTCACCTCAGTGATGGACCAGTTCATGAACGATTACGTGGAAGAGGCGAACCGCGAGATTGAGAAGTACAACCGGGAGCTGGACGAGCAGGAATACCACGATCTCTTCGAGCAGAAGACCTAAACCAGGATCCCCGTGCGGTACAGACAAACCCCCCAGAGACTTTCTTTACCTTCTGAAAATTATTTGTCACCAAGAAAACACCTTTTCACCTTTGCTAGATTTACAGCTGGTTTGTTTTGGGTTTTTTTTTTTAATATTTAAGTTGCATTCACATTAGGCTGGCACCTGAAAATGTGATACGGTCCAGGAATATTTGTGGGGGGGGGGCGTATTTCCAAATCTGTGCCGAGGTGGGCTTATTGATGGAAAAGCAAAGTAGGGATTTATTTTTTGTTCTTTTCAAACGTTTCCAGAGCTGTATTTCCTGTGTCGTCGAGATGGTCCTTAACGTTGCTTTTCTGACGTTCCCCAAAATGCCTTTGTGAGCGACGTAATCGGGGTCTGCGTGTTCCTGAGGGAAACCCATCTGAAAAGGCTATGGGGTGATTTGGGCTGATAACCCGAAAGCAAAAAGCGGGAGGGATGTAAATAATCTTAAGAGCTGCCTCAAACCAACATTTCATGGTTTGAAGATGTTCCTAAAGCGAGAAACAGGAGAATATGCCTACTTTTAAGGATTGCTATTAACCAAGATGGTGGTTTGGTGGTGTTCCCAAAGCGAGAAATGGGGGACACAAGTGATCTTGACAGTACCTCAAACCAATATCTCGTGGTTTGAAGTGTTCCTAAAATAAAAAATGAGGGAACACAAATAATCTTGACAGTGCCCCAAACCAACATATCATGGTTTGACAATGTTCCTAAAGCGAGAAATGGGGGAACATACTGGTCTTTAAAGACTGCTACTAACCAATATGGTGGTTTGGCGGTTTCCCAAAGTGAAAACTGAGGGGACACAAAGTGACCCTGATGGTGCCTCAAACCAATATCTCGTGGTTTGAAGATGTTCCTAAAGCGAGAAATAGGGGAACATGCCTACTTTTAAGGATTGCTACTAACCAAGATGGTGGTTGGATGATGTTCCCAAAGCAAGAAATGGGGGAGGCAAGTGATCTTGACAGTACCTCAAACCAACTTCTCATGGTTTGAAGATGTTCCTAAAATGAAAAATGGGGGAACACAAATAATCTTGACAGTGCCCCAAACCAACATATCATGGTTTGACAATGTTCCTAAAGCGAGAAATGGGGGAACATACTGGTCTTTAAAGACTGCTACTAATCAATATGGCGGTTTGGCGGTTTTCCCAAAGTGAAAACTGAGGGGATACAAAGTGACTCTGATGGTGCCTCAAACCAATATCTCATGGTTTGAAGATGTTCCTAAAATGAAAAATGGGGGAACACAAATAATCTTGACAGTGCCCCAAACCAACATATCATGGTTTGACAATGTTCCTAAAGCGAGAAATGAGGGAACATACTGGTCTTTAAAGACTGCTACTAACCAATATGGCGGTTTGGCGGTTTTCCCAAAGTGAAAACTGAGGGGATACAAAGTGACTCTGATGGTGCCTCAAACCAATATCTCATGGTTTGAAGATGTTCCCAAAGCGAGAAATGAGGGAACATGCTTGTCCTTAAGGACCGCTACTAACCAACATGATAGTCTGGTGGTGTTCCTGAAGCGAGAAATGAGAGAGCACAAATGATCTTTAGATCTGTTCCAGACCAACATTTGAGGGTTTAAAGATGTTCCTAAAGCAAGAACTGAGGGAACATATCTGTCCTTAAGAGCTGCTACTAACCAACATGGTGGTTTTGGTGGTGTTCCCAAAGCGAGAAATGGGGGAACACAAATGATCTTAAGAGATACCCCAAACCAACATGTAATCGTGGTTTAAAGAAGTTCCTAAAGCAAAAACTGAGGGAATACATCCGTCCTTAAGAGCTGCTACTAACCAACATGGTGGTTTGGTGGTGTTCTCAAAGCGAGAAATGGGGAAACACAAATGATCTTAAGAGCTACCCCAAACTAACATGTAATCATGGTTTAAAGACATTCCTAAAGCAGGGACATATTTGTCCTTAAGGACTGCTACTAACCAACCTGGGGGGTGTTCCCAAAGCGAGAAATGAGGGAACCCAAATGATGTCGACAGTGCCTCAAACCAACATATGATGGTTTGAAGATGTTCCTAAAGCGAGAAATGGGGGAACATAACCAGATATGTTACTGTCCAACATAGTGTCTTGGCTGGTGTCCCTAAGCCACGAAACGAGCAAATACATTGGTTCCTACGAACCACTGCTAACCAACATGGCGGCTTGTTTAGTATTCCTGCAGTGAGAAATAGGGGGAGCCCAATTGATTTTGAGCCCAAACCGACATTTGAGGTTTTGGAGTCGTTCCTCAAGCAAGAAATGAGGGAACGTAGCTGTCCTTAAGGACTGCTACTAATCGACATGGCAGCTTTGCGTGAGATTCCTAAAGCGAGAAACGGAGGAACACAAATGATGTTAGACAGCTGCCCCCAAACCAGCAAGTAACAGTGTGGAGACAAGTACAAAATAGAGTATATTTGTAAATTTGAGCAGCGGAGAAAACTTGCATTCTTAAAGGATGCTGGAAATTAACACGTTCTGGTTTCTAAACTAGAAAACTGGGGGAACGTAAATTCTTGAGAGCGGCCCCAAAATAGCCTACGATGGTCTTTGAACTATTTCCCCCCCCCCCTTAAAGTATTCCGTGGAGCTGCTCCTAAGCAACCTAATGAGATTGGCAAGCAAGTGTCCTAATTCTGATAAGAAATTCCAGCTACTTCTTAAAATGCTGGCCGTGTTGAAACAAAAACAGGTCTGTCCATTTCGGGCTGGAAAAAAAATAATGGATCCCTAAAATGTTTCGAGAAGAAAAACCTTTGATGCCGTTTGATGCTTACCTCTTAGGTTGATTCATTCATTCTTTTTTTTTCTTTCCTGGCAAAAGAATCCAGGTTGATCTGGAACAGCCAAGCTTTGGAAGACTTTATGCTGGCTTCTTAACACCTGCACAGGTGGTGGCTGGTCAGGCTAGGGTTTTTTTTTTTTTTTAGTTTTTTTTCAAACTCCGTAGGACGTCTGCAAGGAATAAAGTGATTTCCTTAGAGTGGAAAGCTTAGCGGTTCCTAATTCAGTCCCTCTTGCAGACGAATAGAGTGTCCTTATCGGAATTGTGAATTTATCTATGCATGGCTGTAACCTAGTTAATCTTCAGATATAACTGATAGTGCCTGGTAGGAGTAACATAGCTAGGAATTGTTTAGGGAGGAGCAGGGTGAATGGAAAGTCCATGTGGCTGTAACAGGTGAAAAAGCCAGGTGTTTTGAGGAGATGGGCAGAGGTGTCCTGCGGTTGCAGTGTGATCCTCGCCATTTTTACTGGGAATCTTAGTGCCGCTCTTAGCGCAAAATGCATTGCAATCCCAGAGTTCTTCCCACTTGAGTTATATCTCCCAAACTGGGACATCCAGAAGGGTGAAAGATCCAAATAGGGCGAACCTCGAAACACCTCCGGCTTCTCCAGCGCTTCCTAGGGAACACCGGTGGAGAATTTTTTTTCGCCCGCCCGGCTACATTTTAGGGAAGGCTCCTTCTTCTTTAGCATAGTTTGTTGAATGATCCGCGAAGCCATATATCTCGAAATAATCTTGTTGCTACCCAGCATCTGGAAGCGGAGACAAAGGCAGCGTAGCCTGCGTTGTCTCCGCTTCTGCGTTGATTAAGAGAAGTAGGTTTTTAAGTGCAATTGTTAATGAATGAAGTAGGTGTGCAGAATTGAAGCTCTGCTGAACTTGGAAACACACAGGAGGTCCTGCTTAGGAAAAAAAATCTCCAAGGCTGTGTTTCTCAAGCTTGGGGAACTTTAAGGTGGGTGGACTTCAACTCCCAGAATTCTGGGAGTTGAAGTCCACCCATCTTAAAAGTCCCCAAGCTTGAGAAACACTGCTCCGCGGACCGCATTAAGCACAGTCCTTCACCCACACAAACCATGTGGGTGTGAAGCCAACACAACAGTGTCACCATGTGCCTAGCTGCTCCGAATTTCGCGGCCATTAGCAGACGGCTCACGGTGCTTCTTAGGACAGCTATCATCCTATAGCACACAGTTCCCATTGTGGTAGGAAACTTTTCCTGCTTATCAGACTGCACCCAGTATCCGTCACCCAGCAGCGGGCAGAGAATAGCCCGAATCCCCTCTTGATTCTTGAAGCTCAATCAGATGCTCCGTTTCTGCATTGACAAACAACGAGGGGTTTTTTCAGGGTGCAGAACAGACTTCGTCCATGTGCCTCTCTGGGAGCCCGACTGGCAATCTTTCCGAAGGCCATTTGCTGTTGTGTGTGTGTGTGCGTTGCGTTAAAAGTCGCGCTTGCGCCACCGAGTCAGCCGTTTAGCAGAAGCTCAAAGCGAAGAGACGTTAGAGAAGGATGTATTCTGTACTGCATGCAAAATAGAAGAAATTCTTTTTTAATAAATAAATCACCGTATTTTAGATTCAAAGCCTTTCACCATCTCGGTACGACATGAATAATTCTCTCTTTTTGAGTCGGGACCTTTTGTTGGTTAGTTGGTTGGTTTCATTACCTCAACTCGGTTGATCTTGAACTGTGATTTACGATGATGAAACGGGATGGGTGGGGCGGGGAGGAATTAAATAGCCAAAATCATTTCTGAAACTGTGATGACGAGGATCCTGTCCCGAGACATAACCAGTGCCTTGTTTTGCGGCGTTAGGGATAACCGCCGCCCGATCTGGACACCTGGGTGACGTCCCGGTCCTTAATTCTCGCGCCCTCTTTTGAAGGGGAAAAGAAAAAAAAAAACCATTTGGTGAAAGGACTCTGAACTTAGCGAAGCATATTTAGCACACGTCTTTAGTTAGGTTCCGTTGGGTGTTCTTGTCAAAGAACGAGAATCTCAAAACTCTTTGAGGACTGAAATAAATAAATAAAAATGGAATAATACTTGATCCTGTCGGGAATTTGAAGGCAATTGGGCTTTTTCCCATTAGGAATTGCTTCAACAGACCGACAGCGTTTTTATTAAGGGGGGGGGGGGAACTAATTGTCTTTATTTTATT